CTATCTCTATGTGGCTTTTATTAAAATAGGATTATGACCTACTTTATTTTTTTTTTTTAACCTGGCATGAGATTAGGAGTTTTGTGTTTTGTTTGTTTTGATTTGTTTTTCCTAACTTTTCTTATTTTCTTTTACAGATCCAGCAATCTTGAAACTAGGTTATCTCACTTTGCATCAGTTGATTGTACTGACTCCAAGGAGCCCGTTTCCTTAAGCAGACTGGAGCAGCGGCACTGTTTGCTGTCAGTAGATCTTGTCACTCAAAGACTGCCCAGAGACAGGCTGCAAACTGATAGCTATGAAGCACAAAGCTCCCAAAATTTCTGCTTTTCCAGAAAAGAAAAAAGAACATAAAACCTCTTCCAGGTTCCTTGGTTCTGTCTGTTGGCACAGTTTTATGTATATATACAGCTGGAGGTGAAATAATCACCTAACAGAACCCAAAACTCTCATCATCTCTTGGCAAACTCTCAAGACAAAACCAAATCTGACACGGCTCTACCTTATCCTCATAGGGGTTTATAATAAAGGCAATAATCAAGGGACTCATTAAGCAGCCATTTACTAGCACACGATGGAAAAGACTCGCAGGAATGAGTCTTCGCCTTCAAGGGGTTGGGTCTGCCTCTATCAATAGAGATTCCCAGGTCATTCCCAGCGGAGCCTGTGGTGTAGGGTAGAAAAAGCACTGGTCACAACTGCTTCTTCTGATTAGGGAAGGTTTTCCAACCTCTAACAATGGTGGGTGACTGATGTAGCCTGGTACACTGGCGTCCAAGCAGCTGCATCTTGTCCCTTTGAGCTTCCCTCTTTCCTCTTCCCCAAGAAACCGCTCGGTGGCAGATCCTAATGATGTTATCCATGCCCAATTCAGCAAGTATCACAAGGTCCTTTAGAGAGGGGTCCTGGGGAGATGCAGATTGTGGTACGTTCAGGAGGCTGCTGATACGCTTCTGTGCTCTTCATCACTTTTGATACGATAAGCATCACGGCAAGGTGGGCGCAACGATGTCTTAAGATGAGGGCTGGCATGTGAACTAGCGGGATTCATTGCAGGTGAGCAAGACAGAGGGTGAGGCAACAGCTATAGGACGTATGGAAAATCTCTATCTTGTGAACTCACCCTCCATTTTTCACCTCTGACTCAAAATTCCAGGGTGAGATTCATCTCTCTTGACTCCAGCTGGCCATGGTGCAACTGAGCAATCACATTAGTATCCCTGTACATTCATAAACAAACAATTCCAAGAAACAATCTGGTAGTACTTTGGATTAATCTGGTAATATTTTGGATAATGACTTCAGGATGAGCAGAACCATGCCTTATGAATGCCTGTAACTCTTCACTGACTATAAAGGGAGCCTACATGACTACTTAGATACAGACTTTTGCTATATGATATAGGTCATCCCAAGTGACTACAATCCGGGGGCGCTTCTGGATGCCGACACGACAAAGACAACTAAGGACCAGTTCTTTTGCTTCTGCTCCTGAGCTGTTTTCCTTTGGACACTGACATGTTTACAGTAATTCCTGGACTCTCCTATCCCACCCTACTCAGTGTTTTTTCAGGCCACACCTGGAATGCCGTATTGAGTTTTAGTCCCTGCTATACAAAAAACATGTGGACAGCTGGACAGGTCCAGAGAAGGGTCACAAAGATGACCAAAGGACTGGGAAGCCTGACATATGAGGAAAGGCTGTGAGAACTGGGTTTGTTCAGCCTTGAGAAAAGAAGGCTTAGGGGAGACATTCTCACCATGTTCCAGTATTTAAAGGGTGGCTACAAAGAAGATGGAGACTCTCTTTCTACAAGGAGCCACATGGAAAAGGCGAGGGGCAATGGGTACAAATTACTCCTGGAGAGATTCTGATGGGATACAAGAGGAAAATTTTTCACAATGAGAACAACCAGCCATTGGAATAATCTCCCCAGGAAATAGTGGATTCCTCAACATCGGATACTTTTAAGATTTGGCTGGACAGGGTGCTGGGCCATCTTGTCTAGAACATGTTTTTGACAAGAAAGACTGGACCAGATGAACCTTGAGGTCCCTTCCGATCTGGTATTCTATGACTCTATGACTTGTAACAAAATATTTCTGTGGAGTTTCACCTTGAGTCCGTTCAGTACATGACTGCTGACTACTAAGCTATTCCCAGTGCTCAAGGACAGATCAGAACAGACTTAGGAGTGGACTTCAGGATATCAGATGTAATCTAGTAGGTTCTCACTGGTTTGAGACACTGCTGGACAGCACATTTTTTTCTGTGTATGCCACAATATTGCAGATCAGCAGCCGGTATTCTCCACTTGTGTTAGATGTGATTTTGGAATGGGATCCTATGCAGAGTCATCATGAGATAATCAGTCAGGTAGACTGCTAAGACTGCACTTCTGGGAGTGGGATGACTTAAGATAAAGTCAGAGATAGATGGTATGTAGGAAGGATTACTCAGCAAGATTGCAGTAACAGTATGATGGAAGCTCAGTGGTTGATGATAAGCTCCCTCTGAGTGCCTCTAAGTGAAGTGTATTTTCACTTAGAGACACTTTCTAGATGATGACTTGGATATCACTAAAATTAGCATAAAATGTGCATTTCTTCATCATACTCCATGTACATTCTGATGGGGATCTTATTCCTCAGGTGTTCCTACTAGTGTCAAAAGCATGCAAAGATTGGAGATGGGTGAAAGACTTCTGGATATATTAATCATCTAAAAGATTTCACTTCCCCTCTTCCTAATTTCTCCTATTTCAGATATGTTTGATGCTTCAGTTTCTCCAGCTGGCTCCAAATTCTCTACCTTGGATGAACAAAAAAATAAGCCATAAAGCTTTCTCTCAAATTCCTAAGGACCATAAAGGCTTCTTCTTCCCTCAGGTCCATATGTCTGTGTCTCAGCACTGGTCTGTCATTCAGTTTTTCTCATTTCTCCCTCTCATACTCTTTGCAAACTTTGTCTTTGTGCTCTTTGCCCAGGAGACTAAGAAAATTCAGAGCTCCTGATCTTTCCTACTCTTCTCCATGAATCTAATAGGTTCCACCAGCTTCTTTAGACTTAAGGAAGAATAATTTTATTTTATCAGCAGCAGGCTGAAGTACAAGCTCAGATTTGTTCACTCCTGTGATGGGGGTCCCAGCATAATGGACCCAGAGATACTGATGAATCTCCTGAAATCTGATTTGAGTCATGAGTATGATAGCATAAAACAAATGAAAAACCAGAAAAAAAACACCCCAACACCCCCCTCAAGTCTTCAGCCATATGGATAGAGGAAATACCTATGACATTCTGACCGGTTTGCAAACATTTGCCCAGTTATCATATGGCATCTGCACAAACTTGTCAGCATTGTTGCATCAATTGGCACAAAATTGTTGTCATTTCTCATGGTCTAGACAAAAGCAGAGGAGACAGCATGTGCGAGAGAGAGAGAGAACGTGGCTATAATTAGCCCAGCGAAGCCGGTTAAGAAACCTGTTAAAATGAAACAATTTTCCTGACACATAGAATCATAGAATGGTTTGAGTTGGAAGGGACCTCAAAGATCATCTAGTTCCAAGCCCTCTGCCATGGGCAGGGACACCTTCCACTACACCAGGTTGCTCAAAGCCTCAGCCAACCTGGCCTTGAACACTTCCAGGGATGGGGCAGCCACAACTTCTCTGGGCAACATGTTCCAGTGCCTCACCACCCTCAATGTAAAAAATTTCTTCCTTATATCTAATCTAAATCTGCCCTCTTTCAGTTTAAAGCCATTGCCCCTTGTCTCATCACTACACGCCCTTGTAAAAAGTCCCTCTCTAGTTTTCTTGTAGGCCCCCTTCAGATACCGGAAGACTGCAGTAAGATCACCCCGGAGCCTTCTCTTCTCCAGAATAAACAGCCCCAACTCTCTCAGTCTGTCTTTATAGGAGAGGTGCTCCAGCCCTTGGATCACCTTCATGGCCCTCCTCTGGACTTGCTCCAGCAGCTCCATGTCCTTCTTGTGTTGAGGACTCAAGAACTGAATGCAGTATTCCAGGTGGAGTCTCATGAGAGCAGAGTAGAGGGGCAGAATCCCCTCCATTGACCTGCTGGCCATGCTTCTTTGGATGCAGCCCGGGATACAGTTGGCTTTCTGGGCTGCCAGTGCACATTGCCGGCTCATGTTGAGCTTCTCATCAACCAGCATCCCCAAGTCATATGTAGCATGTTTCCACCAGAAAGTGTAAGCAGATTCAGGGTGCTGCTGAAAGGTCCTGGAGAGAGATACAAGAGCCTGAACATCAACCAGTGAGGACACTGCTGGAGCTTCACAGCTAAAAAAGGATGACCTGAACTTCCCCTGAGATGGTGCTGCGCTGAACAGACCTATTAATTTGTAGCTTTTACCTCTTTGGGCCTCTTTGGACTTCCCTCAAGCTCTCTCACTATTTAGACATGGCCACTGATGAGACAGAATCATTGTTTATAGGGATGAATCCTCAAGAAACCCTGGAAAAACCCTAATTTTTAGCATATTTTTGCTTTGTGGGAAGCAGAAGTGGCTGGGATGAAAAAAAAACCCCACAGCTACAGAAAAGAAGAAATGCCTTTCCCTAAACTCTTTAGATGGCAAATGCTCTACTATCTCTGTAGAGCAATCCAGTCACAGCTATAAATAAAAATAAGCAATTACACTCCATGAATTCTCCAAATGAGAATACAAAATTCCAGTGACTCCCCATATATCACTGAACTTACAACCAACTCTACTATTTCATGCCATAACATGGTTCACTGAATTCAAATATTAACTATCGGAAAAGAGAAATCTCACATTGATTTAGTGAAATAAATGTATTTTGGTTTTGTGGCTGAGTCTTTAGAGATAGCGTAACTTAAACACATCTGTTCCTGGAAAGGCTGTAAGATGTAATCACTTTAAAAGGTGGTGAAGGGAAGCTGGGGGAAATCAATGCCAGAGGCAGAGCCCTCACTCAAGCTGCACAGCCAACATGGTGGGACTTTAAAGCATAGATTTCATTTCCTCAGTACCCACCCATTTGAGAATAGACTTTTAAACTGTGTGATGTATAAAAATCTGGAAAGAAGACAATACAATACCACAGATTCTTTACTGATGCCCGCATTGTACCAGCCTAGTCACACCCCTCATCTTGCCAGCAGGCCAGCTTAGCAGTGAGAATTAACACAGCAGTAAACTGGACTCATTTGAGTTTTTTGTTTGTTTGTTTTTTTTAATGAGTACAACACTTTCTAAACCTCATCTTTCACACTCTGCAATTCTAGATGTCAACTGTAAATGAGAACTGTCCAAGAAGAACCTATAGTTCATGGGAGTTGAAGATATATTTGGGGTCCAGAGAAAAATAACATCTCCCATATCAAGTTGAGGGAGCCTGAAGAGAAATCAGATGTCAAAAAAAGATATTTGGAACTTGGACATAGGAGTAAGTCACGTAAGATCAAGCTCACATCTTTTGTATTAACAAGTTTGTGTTAATCAAGAATTTATAAATGATTACTGTCTCATTAACCGATATGATAGCCATGTTAGTGATGAAGTGGCATGTGATACAGGCCTGAATATGAACCAACATGTGCTTCAGCTGAGCTCCAGTTCTGGCTCCTATTCTGCCACAACAGAAATGGGGCTGGCTAGTTCCAGTTCAGACCAGTAAAGATCAGTCAACTGAACTGAGAACCTTGGACTGCTATGAAATAGTTTATGTTGGAAAACATACAGAAAATGCAAGGAGCAGGATGACATGGTGCTCTGGACAAGAGCAATGGGCTTCTCCTGTGGCCATGGGAGGACAGACAGAGGCACTGGTTTATGATGTTGCTCTGAACACCTTCACTGAGGCAAATGGACCCCATGCATGCAGGGCACAACAGTTACCGGGGTGGGCATAGCAACCTTTAATTCCCATCCATCATTTGTGATGAAACATATCCATCAGAACATAACTCTGTATGAAAGAACAAATCTTGTGAACATTCAACCTGGAGTAGCTCAACCAGATCTGGTTTACAAGATCACTGGACATGTGAAGGATTTTATCATGGATGCAAGAAAATTGCAGATCTTGATTCCACTGTGGGAATCCACCTCCAACTCTTCCAGTGCTTGACCAAGCTGGCCTGGTGTAGCACCATCATTTGCTGTCACAGTTAAAAGCAACCTGTGCATTACAGCCTGGTATCTGTGCAGTGATCAACCTCTGGGAAACAAAATGTCATCATGATACCAAGTATGAACCAAGATCCAAGAAAAATGTCTTGCCAAGATGTGAAAGCACTTGCCACTCCAAGAACAGACTACACTTCTCTAGATCATTTTCCCCTGGCCAACGTGTCAGCATTTTAAATTCAAATCTGAACCCAAATAAACACTGTGGGTTTATTTTATTTTATTTTATTTTATTTTATTTTATTTTATTTTATTTTATTTTATTTTATTTTATTTTATTACATTTAATCTCTGGTTTTCTAATTATCTTTTAAGAGTTGTTAGAACGAAGGCTTACAAACCTTAAAATGAGATCTTAAAACCTCACTAGATGGAATGATTCTTACCTAGAAACGAAACGCAGACTTTACAGAAAGTATGAAACTGGAACTTGCTGGCAGCTTCCAGGAGGGTTTTTGCATTGGCTGAATCTATGATCAAAGAACCTGTATAAACAAACTCCAGGAGTAATTCCAGGACATCCGCAGTGAGGTTGGACATAGCCAATTCCAGCTTCTCCCCGCTTCTGCTACTGTCTCGTGGTGACCTGGTAACAGCAGACAATTAAATTATGGACATTACACCATCCCCATTTCGTTGGCATTTATTGATTAGTGAGGGCTAGAAAATCACTTTGCACCTCATTATATTTCTCCATTATTTTTGTTTACGGAACTGAAGAATATGAATTTTAAAATAACTGAACTTAAAAACTTTAACTGGATCTGAAAGAGAAGAGTCTTAAAGCAAGTCTTACGAAAATTTGTTTATTGCTACTCTGCATTTTCATGCAAAAACAGTTGCAAAAGAAAAGGAAAGAAAGGAAAGAAAGGAAAAGAAAAACGAATGAGCCAACATTAATGAAAATGAGGAACAAGATTAGCTTTCAAAGGGAAACAATACATTTTAACATCTTGGTTAACATCTCATCTTCTGTGCATAATGTAACTGTTAAGGAAAAAACATTCTCCAATTTCAAGAGAAAAGGTCATCTACTTTTTCAGGAATCCAGCACTGGAGTAATTTTAAATGTCACGTGCATTTAAGGATACATTTAAAGACCTTTTCATAAAAAAATAACAATAATAAATATTAATTTCTGTTCAGTTTGAACTTCTCAGTATGTTAAAGTATAGATATGATATGTGTATACAGACAGTCATATAAAATATATATATGCTTATTCTAAAAATCTATTGTTCCCTTTTAGGCACTAAAAAAAGGAAGCCCTTCATGGCAATTGCTTTGAAAACTGAAGACAAGACAAGATAGACAGACAAAATGGTTAGAGCAAAGAAGGGAGAGGGGGGAAAACAACAACCAGCTCTGCCACAGGAAGCCAGCAGCCATCCTCTAGGTTTCATGACTGTGGCCTACGGTTTTTCCTGCATGAAGTGCTGAACAATTTGGGGATCAAAGTATCTCCTGCATTTGAAGTGTGGATTAGTGCTCGTGAAATTATTGGACAAAAAGAAAATTATACTGAATTAAAGTAAGGGCCCAGTTCTTAATGCATAGTTGGCTGATGTGTCTGCAACACTAAAGACAGGTTACACCTGAAAGACAAAAGTGATAATAAATTTGGTAACATCAAGGAGGGGAGGGGAAATCTGTTGGAGTAAGAAAATAAACTCTTTTAATGGTTAGGACCATCCAGCACCTTCTCAAAGAAACATGAACTTCTCCTAGTGACTGGACAGTCAACGTCTGCTCGCTCCAATTCTGCTAGAGTACTTGCAAAAGCCATTGCACGATCGACACAAAACCGGCATACGATGCTGCGTGACTCATACGGACTGGCCAAAGCATCACTGTTCACAGGCAATGCCAGCTTTAAGCATGAGCAAGAGCACTACAAACCGCTGGGATTCACAAAGCTGCCTAGAAAGGTGATGGTCAGACCTCTACTACCACAATGGAGGAAAAGTAAACAACATATGAGGTTCAGTTTTCTTCCCTCATGACGCCCCACCCCACCCACCCCAATAACCCCTAAAATCATTTGGGGAAATGCTTAAAATTTGCAGTGGATGCTTTGTCACTGGTCTTCCATTCACTAACTCTGTTCAAGTCAAGGGTGCAGCTTTAGTTTACACAAATCTTTTCAGGACCGAAGCTTTAAAGAGGTTTTATTTTTCTACTGAAATTATTTAGGTGGCATCCGTTACCACAATGAAGGAGCAGCTAGCAGTCCTTAATTTCAGATGCTTCTCTAAGGTAGTGAACAATGGTTACTCCCATTCACAAAAGGAAACTGAGGCACAAAGATAAAAATACCCTTGTCTATGATTGTAGAGAAAGTCAGGGGCAAAGCAAGGAACTAAGCCTCATTTTTTAATTCTAAATATTGGACTATCCCTTCGCATGGGAATACAGGTGGGTGAGATCCTATTCCACAAGCAGAGGGATAAGAATATATACTGATTAAGATACCTGTGGCACCCCTACACGCACAGATGTGTATGCTACCCTGAATCCTTATGCTTTATCACACCACAATATTCTTTTCTGAACTCTCGGATATGGATCCAATTTTGTGCTCAAGGCAGAAAACCTCAGGTGTCAAAACAGAAGAGTTGGCATTTCCGAGATCCTCAAGAGGATGTCACAAAATGTTACTTTTTCTTTTTTTTTTGTTTTCTCACACTCACATACCACTAACATTCCCCATATCTGATTTATCTCCAGTTGTGCACACACCCGATGCTGCACCCTGGGCTATGGAAATGCCTCCTGGCGCCCACGTAATTCTTGTTGAATTGTTTCCAGAAGCGGTTTGTACCTGACGGTGAGCTCGTATTCATGCGGGCTGGTTAATAAGGACATCGTCTAAAATTTAAGTGTGATTTGGAAGCACCCAGCAAGCGACAGAATCAGGCTCTTTGCACTGTGGGAAGCCTCACCATAAGCAACTATTTATTTAATGCCACTAATTGCATTATGCTGGTGATGGCTGCGGGAATGACTGTGTGTGACCCGTCAGGAATCGTGTGCTCTCACCCCAGCGCAGAGACCAGGAGGCACAAAGGAAAGGATGACATGACACCAATGTCAGTGTAGACAGATACCCATGTTAGCAACAACTGCAAGCTGCTATTTTTCAGAATAATTAAGTAATAATCTCTTTTACTTTGTAATACACCAAGCAATAAACTGCTGCTGCAATTGATTAAACGCCAAAGAAAAGCTAAGGTGTTTAATCAATCACTAGAGCCACTTACAGCAAGTATAATACAAAGCTATAGAGATTATTGATATTACACAATAAACCAGAAAAGGGAAAGAAAAGTATCCCTATTCCCTCCTCTGCGATGCCCTGAATGTGTTGTGCTGGTTTGCTCGCCCTCTCTACGGAGGGAGCACCTTGGCTCCATGTTTAGCTGGACCAAATACTGAGCACAGGCTTGGTTCAGCCTGCACAGGGAAATCACAGCAACCTTGATTTCCATGCTGGGGATCTGGCTGGGTACGGGCTGCAGCAAGGATGGGGGATTGGTTGAAGCAGTTCCCAATGGATCAAAAATGAGTGCTTGAAGGAAGAGAAGAAAATAATGTAATGTGACTGAAGCGGGAAATTCCATAGATTTCTTCTCGAAACGGTTTCAGTGAATCAGGTTGTAGCATCCCCCTCTAAGCTTGACTAAAGCTGTCTGTGTTCCTTGTTTTCACACGTATTAGAATATCAGTATTCTCTGTGCAGTTATACTTCATCTATTTGGGACGGAGCCTTCTCTCAGCTACTCTAGAGGAGCTGCAATGAAGTAGCTAAAGCTGTATTACAATAATAGAATATAGTCCTGTAAATGCATATGCAATGGACTGGGGAAAATGTGTATGAATGTATACAGCTGTGCCCCAAATAGCTCATCCTGTATCACATCAGGAGGAGCTTTATCAGTGGCATCGGTAGATGCAAACATTTAGAAAAGTCTGCTCTCGGAAAAGCACTGACTTATTGCCTTAAGAGTTGGGAAGAGACACAGCTCTACCCTGTGCACACACTCCTGTTCCCCCACTCCTGGCACAAACATGGGGTATTTTGGGGATGGAGATGCCTGCTTTGTGTTTCAGTCTTGCTTGAAGCCAAGCAATGTGCACTTACTGTCCGTGGACATCATTAAATGTGGCACATTCTGCTATTTGCCCTATGAACTCTAAAGTTTAACCAGAATGATGTCATTTTATTGGTCTTGTAATCATTGCTCATATTATAAAGGTCACACATTTCACATGGTGGCAGAAAATCAATAGCTCTCCCAACAGCCTCTGGGGGAAAAAGTTTTGCTTCTGAAGAATAATATATAATAAACAATTTTAGTCCTTACTTTATCATGGCTGTAATCTTGGAGAACAGCTACAGTAAAAATCTGGCGAAGGCTGATATATAAACTCATTAAAATTAGGAAGTGATTTAGAACAGGACTTTTGAAAAGATTTATCTTGAGCTAAACAGCAAAGAGGTTTGTTTAGGTCTACATTTAAACAAGCTCCAAGAGCTCTTTAACAGCTTAATTTTATGGTAGCTGTTGGGGAATTCTTTCAGATTTACAAATCATGTATTTCTCCAGCAAGGTGATAGACCTGAGCAATGTGAGCAGAACTGAACCCGCAGATAAGCAGGGAGCATAGATACACTCCAAATGGGTAAGGCGGAGTTACTGAAAAATATTTTGTATTGTCTGGAATAATTAGGTCTAACAGGAAAAAAAAAAAAAAAAAGCCAAGGCTTTTGAACATAGTCTGGCTACTTATCCTTCAACTTAATGACTTAAACTAAAGAAGACAAAGGCACAGGGAGCCTTTTAAAAGGAAAAGATGGCTCGACTGCACTCTCAAATAACAAATCAAAACCGGTGTCCCGTTCTGTTAACTAATATATAGAAAAGAGCTAAGACGTTTAAACACTGATAGCAGGAAAAATAACCCTAAAACCTCATCTGCAAGATTTAGGAGTGGAACTGACAAAAGAAAAAGTAGAGAACTTTACATTTTTGGTATTCATTTGTCCTTGAAAATCATTTCCATACATGTAATACACACAGACAAGAATCAGCACTAGTGTTTCCATGCTTAATAGTGATGCAACCGTGTTTTCCGCATCCTGAGTTATAAATTTATGTATATCTATGCATTTTCCCTGCATTATTCGTATCAACACGTTCACATAACAGAACTTCTGTGTGATTCAGTTCAAAACACTTAATAGTGAGATGCCTTCATTTGCAAAGCCGTGTTTTGAGTCTGGCTAAAGTAGCTGCGTAAGTGAAACACCGCTACCGCATCAATTTGTCAATTTATGGACAGTGCTACCGCCTCTAATTCCATCTTCCCTCACAAAGGTTTGGATATGCTGCCTTTAAATGCCTTGCAACGTTATGTTGACTGACTAATGGTTTGGCTACAGCCTCACTCAATTTGAGATCAAATACGAAAAGCTACCTATACCCAGTGCAGATGCCAGCCAACTCTCTGTTTACAAGCTATAGTCACAAAGTCAAAACAAATTCTGGATGTTCAAAATGGAGCCATCTGCACGGAATAAACATG